AAGAACAGGAGTACTTGTGGCTACAACCCACGAAAGCTTATGCTCTAATAAATTTGTTAGTCTCTAAGGTGCCACAAGTACTCCTGTTCTTTTTGCGGATACAGACTAACACGGCTGCTACTCTGAAACCAGTATTACTTAAATATCCAAAGATGGGCTTTTACATAAAAAGCTAGCCTGAAAAGGTTTTCAATTTTTTTTCTGTTTACATGAGAAACTCAGATCCGGTCTTTGATGGAAGACTGACAGGAATAAGTAAAATGGTGACACCATGAGCCCAGGGTGAAAATTCAGTAATCAAAAGGAAAGGATATATTAATTGTTCAAAGCTTGTTCTCCTCCCCGCCCCCTTTCACATTTTGGATAAAGGGGGCCTTTCTTGATTTTACACCCCAACCTTGTCCATTAAGCAGAGAAAGCGCACCATAAACAACTGAGACCTCACAGAAGTCCTCCAATAAAACCAGAACACACAAGACTTTACAGGCCTAACATTTAAGGTTAAACAAGCAGGAAAAACTGAACTCCCATCCAGGCTCTTTTCTAAGTCAGGGGCACAAAGGGACTAGTTTTTTAAAAAAAGTCTTAAGACTTCATAAACCAGGAAGTTAGCAAGTAAGGAAGAACAAGGCAAGTCTGCAGAAATAACTACAGACTTCCTAAATATCTTGACATATTTCCTAGATGAGTCTCATTTAAGGAGTCCTAACTCTTTCACATTGCTGAGAGCCTTTATGAAGTGAGCCACAAGTGATAGACTGCAGCCATGAATACTGCCACATGTCCTTCTGTACAACACTGAATGCAGTAGAAATTCATGTTTGTACACAAATGTTTTAGTGTGAAACTTTAGCTGCACAAAGGTTCAGTCCCCTGCTTAATTTTACTCCCTTTGTTACTACACATCTCAAAGTTCTAATGCTCTTGCCCAAAAGGGAAATGTGAGATGTCAAGAAGCAACAATAGCTAAGTTTATGGTAGTGTATGTGCCTGAATTGCAGTAGCTTTGGGAAGTTTATCTTGAGAATGTGTGTCTCAAAGTGTAATGGACTAGTTTTTTTCAGAACACGATACACTCATCCATTACTGCTGAAACCAAGCGAACAAGAGACACTAACTCTTAAACTGAGCACAATACATACATCCTCATGTTTGACAGCGTATACTTTAAGGGATAGTCTCTTCAATTTTCAGTTCCACATGCACAGCTGACAAACTAACTTCCAGCAGGAAAGGAGTTCAGAACCAGAATCTATTTGTTTGACCTCAAGTTAGTTTGTACATTCAAATTAAAAAAAAAAAAAAAAAAAGGTTAGTAACTTCCACCACCTTGTCTTATAAAAAAAAGTAACCCAAGCTGTAAGTCATCCAGAATGTCACATTTGCCACATAAGATTCAGTCACAATTCCCCTAGTAACTCCACATTGCACGTTAATCCTACAGAACAGCAATATAAAATTCTGCATATGGGCAAGAGGCAGAGTTAAGAACTGTTTGAAATTTGGTTTCTCTGACTTAGGAGTTTTGAATTTCAGCTACCTTTTTTTTTTTTTTTTTTTTTTTTGGTAAAAAGAGAGATGCTTATTTAGCTTGTCTGCAAGTGTACCTGCCATCTGTAAGGGGCCACCAGAAGAGCTCTTGACAGATTTGCCAAAGTAAGTTATACCAATATGAATAACTATCAGTATAATTGCTGCCCCATTAGGGAGTTACACTGATTTAACTATCTTGGTTTCCAGGCAGAGTGAAATGGTATAAAAAAAAAAAACCACTCTTTAGACAAGCCCTTATTGTTAGGCTACTTTCCTATTTATGCATCTGACGAGACGAAATGGGCATTCACCCACGAAAGCTTATGCTCCAATACATCTGTTAGTCTTAAAGGTGCCACAGGACTCTCTGTTGCTTTGTATGAACACGGTTTCTCAAACTTTCCTTGTTCCTCCCATCTTGAGATAAATGATGGACACCCTCCTATTCGTATTTAAGGCCACCTCTGAGTCCATTCATAATTTACAAATAATGTGGCAGTTACAGCAATTGCTTACACAGAAGAGAAATATTAGGAAAGCATTACATCTAGTTCAAGTAGTATTAAAGCAGTTTGGCTGCCCTCTTTTCCTACTACTAACTCCATCAGCCAGCTCTCTTCATTTATATCAATCTAATCCCCAGCATAGAAGCAGCTAGGTCGACAGAAGATTTCTTCTGTAGACCCAGTTATCACCTCTCTTAGAGGTGGATGAACTACACAACAGGAAAAACCCCTTCTTGTCGATGTAGGAGCCATCTACACTATGCTGTTACAGCAGCACAGCTGCAGACTCAAAGCTGTGCCACTGTAGTGCAGACATATCCTTAATTCAGAGACCTCCTCTTTCAGTCCTCTGATATGAGTTCTAGATTGGCAAGTGTCAAATCTAGACTGAATTCTATGAAGTTTAATTTTAGGGGAGAGAGAAAGAAAGTATATTACCAAATTTAAAAATGTGAGAAGTGTTAAAAAACTTGCAATCAAATCAAACTAAAAAATTCAGATACAACTACAGCTTTACTGAGCATCATGCCAGTGTCTCTTAAATTACTTTAAAAAGTAGAATTGCAAAGAGTTAATCACACGCAGATTAGAAGACTTCAATTTTAATCTGTTGAGTTGAACAGGTGATGAAGGGAAGCCACGGAGGAAGCCCGACTTTACTTCTGTAGGAGGACAACACAATCATGAGCAAGTGTGACCTTTGCTAAGGTAAACAAAAGTTTAGGAGGCTCTACCCTGCTGTAAGCTTCTCCACTTTAAGAGCCAGTCTAGCAAAACTGAGATTTACTTTTCCACAACTATAGGAACAGTGGAAGTTCTAGTACAGATGGGGTCAGGCACTTTTACCAAGGGTCCTTTATGGATCTATAGCAATGAATGCCTACAGAACTGTTTTGCTTTTGTTTTGTTTTTGTTTGGGGGGAGGCAGTCATAGTAGCACAGGGCGGAAATAAAGAGAGAGGTAAGGGGGGGGGGGGAAATCAAGGTGGAAACAAAAGCCGTGACTTTCTGCTCTAACCAGCCCTGTGTCCCTGCAATCAACAAGCCAGACCCCAATCTCCCCTTCAGGAAGTGGGTAGATGTATTGACATCAACATGACTGAAAGAAAGGTCAAACTGACACCAACTCTGCCCACTTCTACCTGCTCCAAGCTCTGCTTCAGCTTCTGGCTTCACAATTACTATTATTATAACTTTAATCCTCAAGTAAAATTTTAACTTCCAGATTAACATTCCTGCCATAGGAATTGCAATCTTTATATAGCATCTTTCACAGACATTTCCTCACTCTATGGAGCACTAGATACAGAAAAACATGTTAAAGGTCACCTGTTGACGACGAATATCATATCCAATTCGTTATGACTATTTCTATTATTCACACCAATACATATCTAATCTGTTAAATTTAAAGTTTAATCTTAGAGACAGATAACCTAGCCAGTAGTTAGAGCCACACTGAATCCAGTGGTAGCCCAGACCACTCTATTTAAAAAAAAAAAAAAAAAAAAAAAAGCAGATTCAACCACACTGAAGTGTACATCTCTGGTGCCATCACATCCAACCTCCCTTTCCTTTTGTCTTTTATGCCCTTCCTCTACTATTCTTGCAGCATCCTGAATACCTCATTTGCTACTACCCTATGTCTATATGATGATGATAACATCTACAGCTATAGCCACGGACAGGGGCAGGTCCTCTCTGGACACAGCAATACCTAGCATTGCTCTAGCCCAGGGTAGGCAACCTATGGCACGCGTGCCAAAGGCAGCACGCGAGTTGATTTTCAAGACTCACACTGCCTGAGTCCTGGCCACCGGTCTGCGGAGGCTCTGGATTTTAATTTAATTGTAAATGAAGCTTCTTAAACATTTTAAAAACCTTATTTACTTTGCATACAACAATAGTTTAGTTATATATTATAGACTTATAGAAAGAGACCTTCTAAAAATGTTAAAATGTATTACTGACACCCAAAACCTTAAATTAGAGTAAATAAATGAAGACTGGCACACCACTTCTGAAAGGTTGCCAACCCCTGCTCTAGCCACAGCATAGCTCACAAAAAGATTTTTAAGCACAGTATTGACAAACTGTTCAATCCAGGGACAGCTGATGCAACTGGTATGACACCAGTAGGCACTGGTACCTTGTCTGTGGTAGCTCTCCCACTGGAGAAGCGGCAACTGCGGGAAGTTTAGGAGGTAGGGGAAGAGAAAGGCTAGTGCAGACAAGGTGCAAAAGTCCAGCTGGGGCAAGCTATGCTCAGGCTTATTCAGTTCGTGCATGTGAAACTAAAGCCAAGGCGCGTAAGAGGCGACTTCTTGGAGCCCCCCGTACCCACGTGGTCTAGTCACGTGCGCCCCCCCCCCCTCTGTGCAAGCCGGCCCCCCGCCCCCAGGAGAGGGGAGGGTTCATAGCCAGGCCCAACAGTTCCACAAAACCGTTAATCCTTGGCGCGAGGCCGGGGAGGAGAGACCCCCACCTCGCTCAGGCGCACGCCCCCGGCCCCCCTCCCCGCGCCACATACACACGTGCGGGGCCTGAAAGCGGCGCTCCGCCCTGGAAGCCGCTTTTCTACACAGCCGGGGGAGGCACCTCCCCTGCTGAAGCCAACGGGGACACCACCAAGGGGGAAGCCTCGAGGAGCCGCCGCGTCTCCTCCCATCCCCGGGCACGGCAGGCGCGAGGCTGTCCAGCAGGGAAAGCAAACACAAAGGAGTCGGTCCGACACCCTCTCCTCCCGGGGACGCCGCCCGGTCCCTGGGCCGGCAGAGCCGCAGGAAGGGGGAGCCGGGCTGCTCGGCTTCTCCTACCCCTCACGCTGCCCTAGGCCCAGCGAGAGCGAGTAAACAAAAGCCGGAGCCGGCGGCTCGCATGGCCGGGCAGCCCGGAGCGCCGCCCCCGGGCACACAAAGAGCGCGGGGGGTGGCGGCAGGTATGGGGGCGTTCCCGCCTCACCTGCTTGCCCCGGTAGAAGAGGCGCTGCCGCTCGGGGCTCACTCGGAAGCTCTCCTGGATTTTCTCCCGCAGACACTCTATCTTGGTGAGGCGGCTCAGGTCGTCGATGGTCTGGGTCTCGGTGCCGTCTATGGTGCGGACCTGGATCCACATGGTGCGCGGCTGCCGGCCGCTCGGGAGGCTGCCGGCCGCGGCTCCCGCCCGCTCTCCGGGTGCGTGTGGGGCGGGGGCGCCTCTGCCGCTTCTTTGTTTTGGCTCAGCGGGGCAGGATTGTAAAGCCGCGGAGCAGCCCGAGCCTCCCAGGCCGTCGGCCTCGCTCACAGGGGCGAGGAGACCAGACCCCCGCCCCCGTCGGCCCGAGGGCGCCCGCAGCGACGTGTAAGCGAGGCCGCGAGCAGCACAATAAGCAGAAGCGTCCGGAGCGAACCGCCGCGGCCAGGTCTAACGGGCACCGCCGGGAGCCATGTCCGAGCCCCGGGGAGTGTTTACCAGCAGCTACCGCTCTCACATGGAGGTCACGGCGCCAAGGCTGATATCGCGAGAGTCTCCCGCTTCCCCCCTCCCCTCCCTTCCCTTCCCCCGCCGGCTTAAAGAGACCACAACAACAACATCGAGGAGGCAGGGCTGACACGCCCCCTCCGCCTTCGCCGCCCGCAGGGCCCCGCCTTACGCCCCGCCCCCAGCGCGTTGCCCGACAGCCCCCTTTTCCCGCCCTGGGTCTGACAAGCTGAGGGGTCGTGCGGCGACGAGTCTTTCGCCTGGTCACAACGGGAGCCTGCGACTTGTCTCCGTCCGGGGGACCTAGAACTGTTAGGGTTCATCTCAGCTTCATTGTTAAAGGAAGAACGTAAGAGCTGGGTCTACAGAGGTCCTGCGCCCAAAGCTGTGCTGGCAGCATAGAAAACAATTGTAGCCTCTTGAGGGGCACACCAAACAACCCCTACAAGGCACGATGGAACCATACCTCAAACACACTAGGGTGACCAGACAGCAAATGTGAAAAATTGGGACGGGGTGGGGGGTAATAGGAGCCTATATAAGAAAAAGACCCAAAAATGGGGATTGTTCCTATAAAATCGGGACATCTGGTCACCTTACAAACACACAGACCTGATGCCTGGATCCTTCCAGAGTCTGGTCCACCCAACCCTCCAAAGTTATCACAGAGATAAAGAACAGAGTAAAACTGTTCTGAGTCCACCACTAAATCTGGACCCGGTGCCACAAAAACCTGGAGTTAACCTTTGTGCCCTGAATCCACAAATCCCACTGACTAAACACAAAACAAGTCTAACTGCTCCTTATTATACAGGGAATATCTAGATCCTGACTCATCCCAGCACAACAGCATAGAAGAAAGATGATTCTGGCACCTAGATCCAGCTTGCCACATTTTGGGTGCAAAGAGAACAATTTAAATAAAGAGCAAGCCTCTCCTGCTTCCCTGGAAAGCTAAAGAAAGAGCTAGCTGCTCCTACTTTACTACAGAAATCTGGACCCTAATGTATCCTGGCCCAATACACAATAAAAATGTGTCTGGCACCTGGATTCAACAGGATGCAGACACTGGATACAGGTTTTTGTGACACTGTTCAATCTGGAAGCACTGAGGTTCTGTAGGGGTTCAAAGCAGCTTTACATGTACTCGGTGTGATAAAATTTGGGGATTGGGCTCAGAAATTGATAGGCTATGATAGGATTCAGTTGTTAAATATGTTTTTATGGCACTGTTACGTTGGAATGAAAGCAAACATTCCTGCATTCTAATTCCAGTTCTAACTGGACTCCCCCTGTGGCCTTGACCAAGTAACTTAGGACCCGATTTACAAAAATGCTGAACACCTGCAACTGCAGTTGAAATAATTGGGAGCTGCTAGTGCCTATACTTCTGAAAATCAGCCCCTTGCCCTTTTGCCTTCATCTCTAAAATGATTATGGCAACACACAGGGGAAGGGGCTTATGTTTATATAATACAGTAACTGACCCCACTACAGTTACAGTGTGTCATACACCATTCCCTAGGGGTCAGCATGTTGACCTGAGAACAAGCTTGGATTCAAGTGTACATGGTCCAAGCATTAGGCACTTCAGGCTCTAGCTTTCTGTGGGTCCCCATTAACACTACCACATGTCAGGTAACAGAGGTTTTCTTTACTAGGGGGAGGCCAGAAGTAAAGGGTGCAAATACTGTAGGAACAGTTGGTTTAATAGTTATGACCAAAAAGAGATACAGCCAACATTCTCTCATCCTAGCCCTTAGAGGCAGTCCAGTCCAGGAGTGTGAGGCAACATAGTCCTAGTACAACCCCTCCACATCATTCTCTTTTTCTGCAGGCCACAGCCCTATGTCCTCCTGAAGCTACTGCTTGCCTCCTGCCAGCAATAAGTGTCTCTCTCCTCTGGATTAGAGGGAAAAGAATCCTGAAGGTAAACAGAAGGGTGAAACAGCTGGGTTTGTGAGAGACAGGGTCAGTATTCTGAGGAAAACCTTTGTGGAGATCACAGGATCAGTTTGCTCATGAGGGGATAGAGGATCAGTTTGTTGGTATCAGGGTTGCTGGACGGGAGGATCAGATGTCTGAAGGGTGGTCACAGACAATGAATTGGACTGTTGTGTAGAACATTGCTTTATGGGTTTAGTGTGACATAGGATGGATTAGATACAAGGAGAAACCATTGAAAGGGGAAGATGAAGAGTGGTAAAGAGATTTTATTGGGAGTCTGTGAGGGGAGATGAGAAGAGACAGTTGATTGGGGAGCTAAATAATGTCTTGATAGGACTGGTGGGTGCTCATTGGCAAATGATGTACTGATGAAGGAAAAAATTGGCTGTAGAGTATAGGATACATTGGAGACTGAAGTGAAGGCAAAAGGTGGACTGGGAAGAGATATGTAGGGGCAGAGGATGGATTGGAGCAGAAACTTTGGAGATAGAGGACAAGAGATGGTGGGGCTGGTGGCAGCAAACAATTAGTTTGAAACAGGATTGATTAGACTGGGAAACCAGAGGATCTATGAGGAACAAAAGATGAATGGACCGGTGGGACCATAAGGCCGACTCTGTAGGTGTTCTGGGGCTGGAGCACCCGGAGGGAAAAAATGGTGGGTGCTGAGCAGTAGTTACATAGTTATGCCAGCATAAGTTGTTAGTGTAGACTGTAGACCAAGCCTAAAACAAGATGCAGTAGTTGTATCAGACAGTGCACAAAGATAGGGAGACATAAAATAAGGGCACAATCAGTTTAATAAACTTTTAACTTAAACTGAGTCAAATTATTTCCTTGTGTACGTTAATTTCATTGGGGTTACACTAAGAATTAATTTAACCAAGTGTGTTTTTCATTTCTTTTAAAAATCACCTAATTGTAGAGTGAATAAGGATGTCAATTTCAATTTTTTAGGTGTCAGTCTTAAAATTGCTATTTTCTGAGCTATTAGTCAGTTTCTTATCCGTGTATAGTTGTTAAGACCCATTTGCTTAATTTTCAATGATTTCTGGCATTATTTACTACAATGAAGGTATCACTATAAAACATATTACAAGAAAAAAACCAAACCTGATTGCATTGTGATAACTCAGAAGCCTATCCGAGATTTTATTTAGCATTCAGATACATTCTGTGGCCCCAATCCTGTTTCCACATGTGCGGTGTTGTATTTTCTTTCATGATTTTATTTACAAATGTAATGGCACATAGATTCTTTATATGATTCCCTTATATCAAGAGGCCTAACTTGTGACTAAAATCATTGTGTTGATTATAGTAATTATAATATAGTTAATTATAGTATAGATAAACATTTTCTATACATGATAAAAACAACCTATTATAGCTAGAAAAAAATAAGGTTATCCATATAAAGAGCTGTTAATAACCACTTAAGAAATAGATGGAAGTAACATTAAGTTTAGGGGTTAAGAGTCATTAAGGGTCAGTTCATTCACCTTGCTTCAAGTACAGAAGTCAGATTTTTGTTGACAGTGGTGAGGGGAGGATGTGTTTGAGCCTTAGCTCCATGAACCCCTCCTTTCTCTAACTCACAGATACATCTGTAAGCAATCCTTGTACACTTGGGGTTCCTAAGTTTTTGAAGGGGTTTAGCAGGGAGGAGGCCAAGGGAGAAGCACTCTCCACAATATCATTATCCTCCAAATCTACAGCGATTTCCCTGTTAAAGACAGCATGTCTGCATTATGTTATTGAGAATAATACTCTGCCCTCAGAACCTTGTAATGGTGTGGGGGAGGGGATTGATCCAGGGAATAGCACTGAGGCACTGGGCTTCTGAGGAAACACATTTGCCCTCTGTGAATGTCCTGATTTCATAGACACCAACTTTTCCCTGCACCAGTGGGTGCTCGCCCCAGGTCCCGCCCCGACTCCACCCCTGCCCCGCACCCATTCCAACCCCTTCCCTAAAGTCCCCGCCCCAACTCCGCCACCTCCCTGCCCCTATTGGACGACTCCTCCAAATCCTTGCCCCAGTTGTTTCGCGGCGGCAAGCACTGGGAGCTAGGGGGAGAAGCGGGGACGCAGCGGGCTCAGGGGAGGAGCGGAGCGGAGGTGAGCTGGGACGGGGAGCTGCCGGTGGGTGCAAAGCATCCACCAATTTTTCCCCGTAGGTGCTCCAGCCCCAGAGCACCCATGGAGTTGGCGCCTATGCCTGATTTCCTCACAGCTACTCTTACATCTTTCTCTCCACAACAGAATGATTTGTACAAAACTCTGCAAGTTGAAGCTTATGAAGTTTCCTGGCATTTTGTGGATTCTTCTTGTTTAGGTCATGATTTGGCTATAAGATAGATAGTTAGCACAGAGGTCAGTTGGGTGAAATTAAGGATATCACTATTTGTTTTCCACATGTGGCTGCATTTTGTTGAGAGTTAAAGTTAATTTTAATATGTAGTTTGTAATTCTGTAAAGTGTTTATATTATAGGCTTGCAAATAAAGAACTAAATAGTAATACTAATGAATAAATGGAGCCCTATTGAAACTAAACATTGAGCTATCACGTGACAAAACATTAGTGTATTATTCGTACTAAACATGTGTGGGATGTAGATAGAATGTTAGTGTTGACTTTTAAGGAGAATTTCCTTTAAAATACATATTTGATACTGTAGCGATGCGGGACTCACCCCTGCAGCACCTCCTGCTGGTCATCTCAGGGAATTAGCTCTTCAACCCAGGAGCGCCCTCTGCCGGACCTGGTGCCTTTTGTCTCTGGGGTGCTGCCTCCTGGCAATACCCCTGCAGTCTCAGAGTCTCCCCACCCAGGGGAACCCCCAACCCTCTATCCGCACCTTGCCTCAGTCTGGGCTACTGACAGTCATCACCAAGCCCCCATTCCCTGGGGCAGACTGCAGTGTAAAAGCCACTCATCATAGGCAAGGGGGTTCAGACCTGCTGCCTTCCTCTACCACCCAGTACCTCTCTGGGCCTAGGACCAGGCCCTGCAGCCTGGGGAGTTGCCAGCCTGGCGCTCCCCTGCTCCTCTGGCCTTTCCCCA